GAAGGAGAGGGATCCCAGCAGAGGAGCAGATATGCAAACATATTCAGACCGTGCCAGAAGTAGGGTCAAAAAGGAAATAGGTTCACAGAGAGTCTTGAGGAAGTTTCTTGAACTCAGGTAACAGTATCCTAGAAATGGCGCTTTTTAGAAGCTTTTCAGTCAAACCATCGCCAAAACAAAAAGCAAAATAGTATTAGGTTAGCCACAGAGATTCTAGAGTAACTTCAGTTCCAACTGAGGCTAACCTTGGCAAGTTACATTTGATTTTGAATAGATTTATTTGCTAAGCCTCACTTTCCTCAGCTGTGAAATGGAGTTTTTTTATGAGAATTAACTGAGTATTCAGAAAGATTGGTTATTAGTGTTTTTCTTAATAACAACCAGAGCATCCACTTTGAATGGACCATGATAACCAGGAACTATTTTAGACAAGACACTGAATGTCTGTTATACCTAGGAATAAAATGTTGTGGTTAGTGAACCTACTTAAAATCAAATTTTGTGTCCACAAGTACTTTTTATAATCCTTCCTTCCCAAGAACTTCAATCACTTTTGTAGAAACAACATTCACTTTCTTCTCGCATAAAGGAGAGTTTCTCTGAGAGACTTTGTTGCCCCTCTGGTGATGGAAGAGAAGTTTCTAGCCATCTCTTTCGCAGTGAAAATGAACCCCAAGATGGAACTAGCCAATAGCAGTGGCTCCACGTAGGTTTCCAAGGATGAATCCTCCACATTTAAAGTGCAATGGCAACCAAATACATAGTCCTAGCAAAGGGAAACCCCATTTTATCTCTTGTTCTAGGGAGTAAAAACAGAAAGTAGCAATCCACCCTTTAAATTTCAAAGAGAACCAAAAACTTTTCTTTAAGAAAAAAATCCCATAGACATCTCAAACATCTAATGAAATAATTACTGTGCTCCAAATTAGTTAAAACCCCTAGCTGAGAAACTAGGGTGATCTTTTACCTAGTCACATCCCGCTCCTCCTTCTCTCAGTTCTCCAATCCACTTCGCTTGCTGTCTTGTCTTGCTACCGCAGCTCAGTTCAGGTTCCCATGAGTTTTGTCCTGATATAGCTACAATAACCTTTTAGTTACTTGCTCTTTTATCCAGTTATACTTTGTGCTCCAAAATGATGCCGAACAAGTTCCCCGTAGTTTCTGGAATTGCTAATTAGCCATTGGCACAAACCCTCTAGAGCTAGCCCCAGTCCATCTCCACTCATCTTTGGCCAAATGTGTGAACCAGTAAGTGTGAACCCTTTGATTCAGCCACACCAAACTCACATAACTCTTCAAACACACCAGGTTGTTTTACACTTCTATGCCTCTCCACACATGCCATTCCTTGTGCCTGAAACACAGTTCTCCTAGTTCTCCATTTACTTAACTATTACTACCTGCTCGTTGTGTCTCAGAGCAAGCCTAACTCTTCCACAGAGACTTCTCTGCTGCACCTGTCCCATTTCAGTGCTGCTGCATGCATGCCTTGCAGCAC